TAACTAAAATACCATGTTTTTAGACTACATGACCTTCTATTAATTTTTTTAATATTTGATATTTAAAAATTAAATTTGTCTATTAACTTCTTATTAAAAATATGTAGGTAAGTTTAATAAAATCAATTTCATAAAAATCCTCCATATTGACAGTACATTACCACTCCATAATATCCAATACTAAGAGAAATAAAAGTAATATTAAATGGACTGCATAAGCCGTTGAAATTGAGAAAAAATATCCCCGTAGTATATTTTTATATTATATTAGAACTGTTTTCCTACTCAAATAATATATTTTTAATCAATTATTTAAAAATACACCCAATTATTAAACAACAACTAAGAAAATATTTAAAAATATAAATGTGTGAGAAATAGAAAGAAAAATGGTTGGTAAGAGGCAATACCACTAATGATTCTGCAAACGTAAAGATCTAAACGTGAAATATAAGATCGATCTTTTTACTCTTTGAAAAGAAAATTTATGGTGGATAAAATTATAATTAAGATTAAATCTTCAAAACATGAGATGAACTAAAAATAAGAATCTGAATCAACATATAATAAACTATTTTTTTTTGTAAAGACCAAATAATTAAATCTTTTAATTAATTATTTAGCAAGAGAATGCAATTCAATTATTTTTAAAATTTATCATATGAGTAAAATTATTTTTCAAGTTAAGAAAAATCTTAGGGTACATACATTTATTCTATAGAAAGAGCATTAGAGATTAAAAAAATTAGAACACAAAGTAAAAAATATTATTATAGTATTAAGAATCAAACAACCATACAAGTGTATGTTGAAGCACAATCAAAGCTAAATCATGAACAAGAACAAGCTTTCAAGACTATATTATAAAGATTCGGCTTTTATACGGGATTATCCTTTGTAGATGCCTCTTGCTGAATTGAAAATATTTCTATGTCATGCATTACTTGCACATGTCAAATCAAGAGGCATGATACTGTTAGCAATAATAACAAATGGTGTACCGACAAGGATTTTATTATGAGGCCACTCACTTTAGATGTGATATACCTTTTCAAACAACTGAAATAACCAATACAAATACGTCAAAGCAGAGCAACAATGCTAAATCTATAAGGAAAACAAAATTGATAATATGTGATGAAGCGCTTATGGCTAAGTGTTAAATGACGAAACAATTGCCCCTAGAGATATATTGAATACCAGTAAGCCATTTGGTAAAAAAACTAATGGCTTGGAAGGTGATTTCTGTCATATACTGTCAATAGTTACAAAATCGACGAAATCAAAGACTGTAAAAAATAGCTTTTTTAAAATTATATTTATGGCCTCAAATAAAAAAGATTTAACTGACAAGGATAATTTTCGGTATATTTATATTTTGCAATTATAATAAATAAAGCAAAAGGATAAACTTTCTAAATATTAGACTATATTTATCACAATATGTTTTCTTGCACGAACAGCTATATGTTGCACTTTCAAGAGGAACGAATATCAATACCAACAACAAGAGTTCTGGTTATGGCAGAGCAACCAAAACATTAGAAGGAAATATACACAAAAAACCATCAACAAAGAAATGTTTGGTAAGATACCATCAAATTAAATACTTTTAAACTATAATACGTAATTATCTAACTAACATGACTAAATTGATCATTTGTGTAAGTTCTGATGATGTCCTTTTATTTTGAATTCACATATCATGCTAATGTAATAATATTTTTCGGCTTTCAGATGATTAAAATGGTTAAACCATCACGTGCAATTATTAACGTGCAATGCACGTTCATAGATACTAGTATATATATATATATATATATATATATATATATATTAAACTCGTTGACTCTATACGCTGGATTCACCTTTTTGCTAAGTAATTTGTAGAAGTCGTAAAGGTTTTCTTATAAATCTCAATAAATAGCTTCTCATTGATCGAATAATATGCATAAGGAATTTACTCTCGTCACGTGAAAATTGGCTAAAACTAAATAGGGCGCGGCTTTGGACAATCAATTATTCAAGAAGTTAAAAAAGGTGAGATTAAAGGCGGAGCTAGGTGGGCTAAAGGGATTCAGTCGATCCTCTTTCGCCGAAACTTGTACTGTATATATAAAGTTAATATATATATATATATATATATTAGGTGTTGAATAACTTTAGCTTTTTTGCGTGTTTTTTATTCTATTTTTTGAATTCACCTGATAAAAATCATGCTTCCAGCACTACGTGAGATATGCTCGTTTTGTATGAATCCTCCACGAAGTTTCAATTATTATCTACAACAATAATTACGCCTTAATCACAAACAAGTTATATGAATCCTTACTCCACTTAAGTTTCAACTACTATCTAAACTAAATATAACAGCTGTTGAAGAGTTAATGATTCATGAACAAAATGCAGGCTGTAAGGTAGATAGAGTTACTTTTTGTCCATTTAAAAGTGCTTTTAATGGTCAAAAAAGCTAGAAACAAGGCTTTTTTTTAATTTTATTTTGTACTTAGTTTTTTTTGGATGGTTTGAAGTTTGAAAATTTCATATTCTAAATTCATAAAGAATGTAACGTAGATTCAGATAGTGCTATACAAAGTACAAACAACACACTGACAAAGGGCTTCTCCTTATTTTCTGAACAAATTAAAAAAAAAGGGATTTTATATACTTGACTTATATTATAACATCTTCCTCTTTTTAAGGAACAAAAATTCGTAAACTAAATTTCCACACGGATCTTTCTAATTGGATTTTAGGGGAAAATAAAACAATAATTTTAAGTTTTTCCTATTATATTCTAAGTTTTCTTGGAGTAATGTTATTTGGTTAACGAGTAAAAAGATGTTTATTTGTTAATAAATAGCAACTGGATGTACTAAGCTACTATTATGCGCGAAAAACGGGGTTATAGGATTAGGTGTACCACATCATATGAAAATTTAAATTATTAGAGATGAAGAGCCCGTTTGGACATAAAAAAAATTCACTTTTTTTCGAAATTTTTTTTATTTTTTTTCGAAATCATTGTTTGGCCATAAAATTTCCAATTTTCACTTGAAGATGAATTTTGGAATTTGTCAAAAATTTGAAAAAAATCCAAAAAGCTGTTTTTCAAAATTTTCACTCAAACCACTCACGAAACTTTAGAAACAACCCAAAATAATATTCATGTCCAAACACAACTCTAATTTTCAAAGACCATTTTCATATGAATTTTTTTTTCGCTTTTTTTTTTAATAATTTTACAATTCTTATGTCCAAACAACCACGAAGTACTTTCATTTACTCATTTTAGTACCATGACGTGCGAGCTTACTCTTATTGCCGGTCTCAAATCCGAATAAAAGAGGGTTACGGTAGACTCACAATCAACTTAAACTTGTCAATTCATGATTAGTAACGAAGCACTTTTAATTTTTTTCAATTTTGTGTTTACACAACTCCATTTCCAGGTGGTTTAGCGTAGCAATGAGGCTCAAATCCACTAAATCTCCTATTTTTTTTCAATAATATATGGGAATATAATTTAGCCAACAATAGAGTTTATATATAGAGAGAGAGGAGACACAAAGTTATAAAACATTATATGCATTAACAGTTAAAGCAAATGTTTGTACACTAAGGGGTTGTTTGGTTGGAAAGAAGTTATTCCAGAATTAGTATCCCGTGATTAGTTATTCTACCTTTCCATGAGGATAAAAAATACTACAATCCCGAGATAATTAATCTTGGGATTAATTATATCGCAATTTTCTCCCAATCAAATATGGGATAAACTCTTCTTAAATTTAGTCCTGAAATTAATTATTGCTTATCTCTCATGCCAAACGAGGCCTAACAACAACAATTGACCTCTTCATCATTTTTTTTTACCTTCTCAAATTTACTATTCACTCTTATCTTATTTCCTAGCAAGTGGGTAAAATGACAGCATTTTGCCAGTAGTTAAAGTTGTTGGCTTTATCAACAAGGTCATAAGAAACTTGCAAAATAAAGCAAAATGTGTTCTTCAACCAAAACCAACCAAGTACTATAGTACTATATAATTTGAAAAATAAAATATTAAAAATACTATCCACTTATCCTTCTATTCATGCCTTTTTGATTTATTATACTTACTGTCAGTACACTTAATCTGGTTGGCTTCCACTAAATAGTCCAATCATACTATAGCACAAAGAGTAAAGGGGGGCCATACCAAATTTCCTCTAGGACAGAATCATTGTTGGAACCTTTATCCCTAGTTCTTGTACCCTTCCCCCCCCCCCCCCCCCCACATCACCTCCCACCCCTACTATTTGTATTATAATAATATTGTCCAGATCAATTTGCACGCATCTTAACTATTTCATCGCATGTCAATTATTTTTTATCAGCACATATATCTGATAATTCTTATTAATCAAGCAGGGGCAGATGTAGCTTAATAGTACTGAATTCATCTGAACGCAGTACTTTCGACGTGGAGTATGATTTTATATATAAAAAATTACTAATATTGCAAAAATAGCATACATGAACCCATAACTTCTAAGATATAATGGGTTCAATACTAAAAACCTCAAATGTTGAACCCATATAGTTTAAATTCTGAATCCGCCTATATAATTGAACAGTGGCAGAAGTAGGATTTTCACAAGGGAGTTCAAAAATTAACAAAGTAAATACGCTAAGAAGCTAAGGGTTCAACATGAAGGAAAAAAAATTGACCTTATATACATAGTGTAATTTTCTGCGAAGGAAATTCGTCTAATCAACCCCCTTCTGCTCACGTAGCTTCGCCCCTACTATTAAGGCTTTAGAAGATGAAAAGAAATTATCTTTTTTTCGTCTTGACTGTAATTTAGATCGTTAATTTTACGAGTTTTTATATTTACTTTATTGACCACTAGACCAGAACCCGATATTTTTTCTTTTTCATTCTTAACAAATACCAAAAATATTCTAAACCATCCAATACCAAAACAAAAAAGGCTCCAGCTATTATGGTATGCTAAGCTGGCACCAGTTGTTGCCCATGCATCCAATCCAAGAAACTCACAAGCTTTTTGCCCTATTCTTTATGGCTCTCATCTCCTTCTACTTACTATAAATACTTGTCCTCTTTAAATCACTTTCCCCACACAAACAAACATCACATATTCTAATTATTACAAGTAAAATTTTATATAAGCAAAGAGCTAAAATGGGGCCAAGAATTTTCTTGATTTTAGCACTTGTGTTTAGCTCTTGCATGGTTTCTTATGGTGGAAATTTTTTTCAAGAATTTGATTTTACTTGGGGTGGAAATAGGGCTAAGATTTTCAATGGAGGTCAGCTTATGTCTTTGTCTTTGGACAAAGTTTCTGGCTCTGGTTTTCAATCTAAGAAAGAGTATCTCTTTGGGAGAATTGATATGCAAATCAAACTTGTTGCTGGAAATTCTGCTGGCACAGTCACTACATACTATGTAAGTATATATTGTTTTAAAAAAAATTAAAGAAAAAAAAGTTGAACATATTATTTTATGGTTAGCAATAGTATTAGTAGTTCATTTGGAAGGGGAACCACGGAGCAATAGTAAAGTTATTTGAAGAGTCCGAGCAATGGTAAAGTTGTTTCGATGGAAGGGGAACTCCACTAATGCTTGCATTAGTATAAGCTGTCTACATACACCCCTTGGGTGCGGCATTTCGTCCGACCTGTGGCGGAGTCACTCATTGGCAAGGGGAGTTAATTGATACCCCTTCTTCCGGAAATTATACCGCGTAAATAGGCTAATTATTTTATTTTTATGTATATATACTATGTCTTGACTCCCTTTAATTTTTTCATATGCTTACTTATTTATATTTTGACACCCTAAAAAAAAATTATGGCTCTGCCACTGTCTCGGACCCTACATGAATGCGGGAAGCATTGGATACCGAGCTGCTCTTTTTTTAATAATATTAGTAGTTAATTCATTCACTTGAAAAGGAATGTTTTTGAAAGCTACCTAGTAATTTAATTTATAGGTTCAACCGAATCTAATAGCTTTGATTCGCTATGTATTTGTCATAAGAAATTTATTAAATATATTCAAATTATTAATTTAAAAAATTCAATAACTTAAACATCACATTTTTAGTATGTGCCTACTTTAAGAAAGTGAAATTTGATTCATGTAGATATAACCACAAATTATGCCTACTCTTATGCATTGTGGTATTATGAAACAACTTGGTTGATACTCATATGACTATTTTCATGTGGCCAAGAATTTTTCTTTTTAGCTATTAACTTTTATGTGTGATAATGACTTCTTTAAATTAAATTCCCTATTCCTTTTCCTTTAATTATTTGGATTCCTCATGCATATTGCATATCAAACTTTACAAGTTGTCAACTTCTTTTCTTATAATATTATAATCATCCCAATCCTTTATAGCTCCAATTAAGAAATAAACATTGCTTCTTTTTTTTTTTTTTTTGAACTAATTATTTATTTGCTTTTATTGCAGTTATCTTCTCAGGGGCCCACTCATGATGAAATTGACTTTGAATTCTTGGGAAATGTTACTGGTGAACCTTATATTCTCCACACAAATATTTATGCCCAAGGCAAAGGAAACAAAGAGCAGCAATTCTACCTTTGGTTTGATCCTACCAAGAATTTCCACACCTACTCAATCATTTGGAAACCCCAACATATCATGTAAGCAAAACCCTCAACATTATTTATCTCTGCATATTACCAAACAATTAACAAATTAAAAGAACTTAAAAATTTGTGTACTATATTTTTAGACCGTCGGATTAAGCTAGCGTTTGTACAAAGATTTGGTTGAAATTTTTATTAAAAAAAAAAGGATTTTTGAAGTTGTTTTAAAAAAAATAAAAAATTGGAAGTTAAAGTTGTGTTTGGACATGCATTTATTTGGAAAAAAATTAAAGTTTTGTGAACGGAACAAAAATTTTTACCCAAAAACTATTCTAGACCAATTTTTGGAAACTTAAAATTTTTGAACTTAAAAAACTGATCATATGAACAAATAATATTTTAAATTTTTTTATGAAAAAAAAAAAGCCAAATTCTATTGCCAAACGGGAGCTAAGTTGATATTCTAACAACAGGTAGCAAGCTGGATCTAGTAACAAGAAAAATATGTCAAACAATCTATTATAACATGTTAAATTAGACTGATAGTGTCAAAAGATGTACTTAGACAACAATGATTGATTGCTATTCATATTTATCATTGCCCAAAATCTATGTTACTCGGACTCTCCAAAATATTGTCGTATACGTATCGCATCTTTCATAAATACACTACTTTTGAAGGATCCAACACGCGCTCGACGATATTTTTGAAGAGTCCGAGCAACATAGCCCAAAATATAAAATTTCGCTTGATCTAGAGTCAAACCTCTCTCATCCGTTTCCGCATCTTTTTGGTTGTTATAACGAAGTGTTGTTATAGAGAACATATATTATAACATAGCATGAAAATTAGTCTCATAAAAAACTTAACTTTTACAGGGAATAATTATTATATAACGTTGCTGTTATAGAGAGGTATAACTATATAACATTTTCTCATATATTTTTTTTAATGTATTTCAGTTTCTTGGTCGACAACACACCGATAAGAGTTTACAAAAATGCTGAATCAATTGGTGTGCCATTTCCTAAGAATCAGCCTATGAGAATTTATTCTAGCCTTTGGAATGCTGATGATTGGGCAACAAGAGGAGGCTTAGTTAAAACTGATTGGTCTAAAGCTCCATTTACAGCCTATTATAGAAATTTCAATACTCAAACTTTTAGCAGTTCACAATTTTCAAATGAAAAATGGCAAAATCAAGAACTTGATGCTAATGGTAGAAGAAGACTAAGATGGGTTCAGAGGAATTTCATGATTTATAATTATTGTACTGATTTTAAAAGGTTTCCTCAGGGTTTTCCTCCAGAATGCAAAAGATTTTGAGTGACTTTAATTTGTTTTGGAAATTCTTTAATGTGTTTGTGGTTTTATTTTGTTAGATTATAGCAAAAAAAATAAATGTAATTTTCTTGTTTCATTTTGTATGTTATTTGAAGCTAGTAGTTCATCTTGAATCTAATTTATTTGATATCTTATCCCCTTTCTTGATACTTTTAATATTAGTAATCTCTTTTTATTTATAAGCGTTCAGTTTTGTGCACTGACAATGTATAAATTATTTGTAAAATCAACTAAAATTGACCTATAAGAATACATAATTCTTCACATCAATTCCGATATTATAACCTATGCTATAATTAATTAAATTGAACTAGACCATAGTTCCAAGTCACACTTCAAGACTTTTTATAGAATGAGAATTTCCTATACTTCTCCAAATTGCTGTAAAAATGAAAGAAAACAAAATTGATACATGAAGTTAAGAGCAATTTTATTGATAGAAGGGGAATTTTTAAGACGAAAATGAGTTTTCAATATTTTAAAAGTTTAATTTATATACACGACATTGTAGAGAAATTTTTGACTATCAGGTCATCTTCATGTATTGTAATAGGTGACGTGACTTATTTTAAAATTAAAAATCTAACTTTTAATGGAAGATTATTATAAATATCTTTTAGGTGATCTGATAGTATATAAATTTTTCTATACTGTCAGTATGACTGTGTACTTAAGTTATTCTTATTTCAACATTGCTCGTTAATTAATAATTTGTTAAACTTAGGAATATTGAAAGAATAATAAATATTTCCCCTCACCAACCTTTGCCATCAAAGGCTCCATTAACCTTAAGTTGGTAATGGGATGGCAAAGCTATTGTCCTCCATTGATTATCTTAATAATGTTTACCGAAAGCTGCCAATAATTTATTAAGAAGAACGTTTCAAGCTTGCACTTTGAATTGTGAACACAAGTAGTAAATAGGGCAAGTTACACATTTGGTCGGCCGGTCAAAAATAATTATATCCGCTAGTTAAATATACATCGATTATATAGCGGCTATATAATATATATGTGGGCCATGGGTCAAATGATGGTGCTGGGCTTGATTGGTTTAATTTTGATGGGCTGATGTTATGGTACGCTTTCGTAAAAATAGCATGGGCTAGCCAATTTCCGGACTGATAATTGAAAAATAGCCAGCGTTTGTAAAGTCATTGAAAAATAACCACTATTTTGCTGCAACACAGAAAGTTCCAGCATAACATACTAGAGCTTGGTGCACCTGTGTATGAACTTCCAGCATATTACGCTGGAACTCCAACACGCGGAAAGTTCCAGCATTATATACTAGAGATTGGAGCACCTGTGTATGAACTTCCAGCATATTATGTTGTACCGGTATATTATACTGTAACTCCAGTATATTATGTTGGAACTCCAGTATACTTATGCTGGAACTCCAGTATATTATACTGGAGTTCCAGCATAATATACTTGAACTCCAGTATAAGTTCCAGCATAATATACTTGAACTCCAGTATAAGTTCCAGTATATTATACTGGAATTCTAGTATATTATGCTGAAATATTTTTCGAATTTTGAACATGTTTTGTTTAGATTTATCTTTAGATGAAAAGTGGCTAAACTTCGATTACTTTTGAAACTGTGGCTATTTTTTAATGACCACTTGTAAATTTGGCTATTTTTTATTTTCTCCCCCTGCTTTCCTACCTCATATTTTCAAGGAGTTATTTAGCTAGTTACAACCTTTGTCTTTTTTTATTATATATATTTTAACAAAAATTTCCATAGTTATCTTGTATGTATGGTTGCCTTTGATGTGCAACAAATGGAAAGGTCAATTCTGAAATATTTGAGTTGTTTAAACTTTAAAATCGGCTAATTTTGAAAAGTAGTCTGATTGTCTTTTAACAAACTGATAAAATGGACCTTCGCAAACAGCATAATTGTACTACGATTTCAGTATAATATTCTCGTACCGAATTATATGCTTCTGTTGATTTCTACTCCTTGAAATCTACAATTACATAATAACCCCATATATGACAATCTCTTTGCTCTCTAGTAATCCTTGGGTAAGTTGATCTCCCTAATGAGATTAACGTGACCAATAATCTCAATCATCGCGTTCATGCCCGCTGTTAAAATAAAATACCACATAGTAAAAGTTAAACAAAAACAAAATGATAAAAGAATCAGTGAGGCAAGGTCAAAATAGTAGAAATGACAGTAGATACCCAGTCTAAAGGGCTACTATTTAGAAATTAGTCAAGGCTTCCTGAATTTTAGTTTTGTCCTAGATTAAGATTTTTAGTTCAAATTTCCAAGACAAAAAAATACTAGTTAATCCCTAAATAATAGCCCTCAGAAGTAAGAATGACTATTTGTACAATTCTCCCATCAAAATACTCTTAATTTTTTCTTTGTATTATCTTAGTCCTAACAGTTGCAAAAGATATTATCTTTTTTCTATCATTATGATAAATAAAGATACATATAAGCAGGGATTCTACAAACATCGTTGTAAAAGATACTTTTCCAGATACAAAGCAAATACTTAGTAGCATGAGTACAAAGAGTAAATCTCATTTCAGAAGAGGTATTAAAAAATGTAGCTTCATCCATAAATCTATAATTTGGTACTGTCATCTATCTACAAGTCCCCTTTGATAACTAGTTTCTTATCTGATTCCAAGTTAACACAAGCAAGTATTTAGCTCACTGATGCTTCTTTCGACCGCGCTTTGCCCTTGCTTTGATATCTTCTTTCTCAGATTTTGAACTAGATGATTCTATCTTTTGAACAGTTTTTTCTTCTATGGAACTGGCAAATGTCACTCTTGGCCGGTACAAGGGCTGCAGGTTATACATTGGAATTAGTACATGTAAATACATAGGAAGTTCAAACTCATTCATTTCATTGAAATAATAATTTGGACAGGATCAAAAGTTGATTATGCTTAAAGTTGTAATAGAACATGCACTAGCTAATTACTTACCGGGACTCTACAGTGATAATGGAGCTCGTTATTCATTTGGCTAAGGCGTTCTTTTGCTAGTTGTTCTGCTTCCAATGCTTTTGTACATGCTTCTTCAACCTCAAGCTGAGTGCAACAAAGTTACATGAGATCATGCTTTTATAATCTTTACAATCATTAAATGGATAACATAGAACAAACATATATTTTCTCCCACAGAAAGAAAGAAGACCAAACAAGAAAGTTAACGAAAATAAAGCTTAAGCTTCAAGTAACAGGGCTAAAATTTGGTGCATAGGAGGAACATTTATTTTTTATCTCACTGGAATTTGAATCATTCAATTATGAACAGACTTAGATAAATTTCGTTTAATTTCATTGACATGAACATGTAAATAAATGGCTGAACAGAAGGGGGAAAACTCAAGTATCACATGAATTATCAATTTGGCAATTAGATGATCTGCCGAAGCAATATCCAATTTGTTTCACACCAACATGCAGGATCCTTTAGACTTAAAGTGCCACTAGAAAACAAGTGTTATACAAAACAAGGGAAGATATGGTGCAGAACCAAGAGTCGAATATTTCCAGTAATTGAAGCTTAGGACCACCTTGAATTGGTCTCGACGTCACAATTTCTGGAAAAAAAAAGATTTTTTTTTTGGTAAAAGAAAACAAGAATTTTATCTTTTTCTGGAGTGACATGATGGAAAATCATTTTGCACTATGTTGTCAAAGTGGATCAGTTGATGAAACTCAAAACAGAAGATATTTCAAAGTTCTGAATAAACAATCATCCACAACAACAGGACGCTTGCTATGAGGTACTTTCAGGAGTAGACATAAACATAACTAAAGCAGCTGACCTATGCAATTCGGGACACATGAAATGACGAGTAATATGAATAGAAATGTATAAGCATAACCTGACAGCAAGAGACACAGTTATCAAAAGGAGTAGTTAATCTAGTCTTTACCTGAGAAAGTGGTATAGGAGCAAGGTCGTTTTCACTAGAAAGGTGTTTCTCCAAGAAAATCCGCATATTAGCCAACTCCTTCATCAATCCCAGAGCAACTTCTTCAGAATCTTGCATCTGATTTGTAGAAAATTCAAATGCTCTCTCAGCATGCAGGCGAAATGACACACAATTCAGACAGTTGCACAGACCTCTACATCCCCTAGGATTTCTCTTTAATATCCCTTTGTTGAGAAGATCAGGACGAGTAACCAAATCATATGATGATTCACTCAGAGTTGATTTCTGATGACAAATAGTTGGTTCAAGGCATCCATTTTTGTTTGGAGCATCACTAGGCTCAGATTCTGAGATTTTTTGTATGGACTCCTTGCATAAGGTTTTGGTGAGACCATCATTACTATATTCTGAGAGATCTGATGGTTCAGTGGAAGAAGATGCTTTGATCAAAGCAACTGCTTCAACCGCACTAGTCTCTTCATTGCTATCTGCCAACAAAACCTTGCAGCTGCTTTCTTTAGTGATAGGCTCAGGTTCTGACACCTTGAGGAAAAGCTCCTTTCCTACAGTGCCAGTCGGTTCACAGCAATTTGAACCTATTACTTCAATCAAATTGCTAGCTTCTTCATGATGATCTACCTTCAAAGTCATGCGATCACCTTCAGGACTAACAGGCCCAACTTTTGGAACTTCTACCCCATATTCACTTAACAAATCTTCAAGACTGATAGGCAAAAGGTTTGTGGTATCTACTTTATATTCTCCAGTTGAAGTTTCAGGACTTACATTGGAGTTTGATGTTACTCCTGGACAATTTTCTCCAGTATTAAAATTATTGATCTCATTATTGAGACATTCTGGTTCTGACTTTTCTGTAGTACTTGCATCAGTACACTCTGTTTCTGATTTTCTGATTTCCACGTTAAGTAAAGTCTGTGGATAGGCAATGTCATCAGGAAACACTGAACTTGGCTTCTCATTGAATGATTCCGCAGCAGAACTTAAATTTTCCATGGGGAGACAAGTATTTAAGCAATCACTCACATCATTGGCTGAGATGCACTTGGGTTCCAATATCTTTGTCTCTTGTTCTTTAGTTTCATCTTTCATAGGAGAATATTCTTTATTCATAAGAACTTCTTTACTCACGGACATCAAAGGTCGATTGCACTCCAAGTCCCTCTGAGATTTGGTATGTCCATTTTCACTTGAAGCACCTCCTAAGAAACATGAACATGGTGATTAGCCTACAAGCATTGGTTTTTCATGGGAATTCATTTTAGATCCACCTAATATATGCACCTAAAGGAGTGGAAATGTGACTTACCGGAATCACTTTTTGCAACATCCATCAGAAATGGGAGCAGTCTTCTGTAACTAACAGAATTTACAGCTTTGAACACCTTCAGCCTAGAGCAAGGATTTAGAGCCTGTAAAAATAACAATTTATACAAATTTTAGAGATACTCAAACGATCTTTTACAACAACATTGCTATTCAGAGCTTTAGTGATATTTACCAATTTGTTCCTCGAAGCACTGCCATTTCTCCCAGGGCTCAAACTAGACTTCTTTACAATGCAGCCATTTCTTCTATCTGATGGATGACCAACAAAAAATTTCTGTGTCTGCTCCACATTATGTTCTATGCTGGCACCCAAGTTGCTCACATCTGCTTTACATAAAATGTCAGCATCTGGTGGTGTCGTCTGGACACATTCTTCCAATGCCTCAGGATCAAGTCCTCCCACCTCGGTAAACACTTGAGGATCTACTCGAGTCTGGCTCAAAACATCAGGGACATCATTGAGGTCCTGCGGGTTGCATGATATATTGACCTCAATCTGCTGACCTTCAACACTCCTTAGCAATTTACTGACATCAGAATTAGCACCAACATGTTTATCTTCAGAAGTAGAACCATTACTAGCCATTGATTGCAGATCAGGTTTCAGATAACTCAAAGTTGAATTGTTGGACTTGGATTCCATATCACGTATCTCAGTTTCTGAAACATCTACAGAAAAGAAGCATTGTCTTAACTCCAGTTACACTGAAAACTTGGAAATATTGAATAGTTTAATCCCCTTAATCATCATTTGCACTAGGAAAAACAAAAACTTAAAAAGATACCAGAGTACTCTCTCGCAGCTTCCGTCAAATATGGTAGCAATCTTCTGTAACTAAATGAGCTTCGAGCTATGAACACCTTCCTCCGAAAGCTCGAACTCACAGCCTAGAAATTAATTTAATTAATTAAGAAAGAAAGAAAGAAAACTTAAACTAATTTTTCAACCAAACCAGAATTTGTCCTTGTACAATCAACATGTCTGCCCGATATTTTCATAACATGTTAACTAACTAAGAAATTGCTTACAATTGACACCTTCGTTAAAGTAGACACACAAAGATGCACCATCTGATATAATACAAGCTGTAGAAACTTTTGAAAGCTAGTAACTCAAGTAACTCACACATATGAGCACTATCTAAAGCAATCTCGAACTCTGAATATGAATTACATTAACAATAAAAAAACAATCAAAGAGAAAATTCTGCAATTTACTTGATTAATGAATCAAAAGTTATCCATATACAATCATGCTAAGTTCCCAAAAAGGTAAAAACTTACTTGCACACGAAATGTCTTTTTCATTAACACATTTATCACTTAACAATTATTAAGTGAAATGTATTTTCACTTTAATTTAAACTGCTAAGATTAAACTATCTGGTTTGGTGTAAATACCAAGTACAAGTAAGTTTCTACCTAAGATAAATACCTGATAGATTGTTAATAGAATTATTTCTACTCTTGGTTAAAATTTCACAGGAATCATACAATATATATATATATATATATATATATATATATATATATATATATATATATATATATATATATANATATATATATATATATATAATATAAGGTAGCTACAATATATACATAATATTAAAAATATTGATATGCAGTAAGCAAGAATGAATCAAATATCTTACTGAATTACTCTTCTGAACACCTCCATTCCTATTTCCATTACTCTCAGTTCCCATTTTACCATCTCCCTTTATCTCATTTTTCTCCTTCAATAACGGAGATTCGCTTTTCTTCAAATTGCCGTCATTTTCTAAAACAACTGAAGGTGAAGAAAATACTCTTCGAGCGCGAAGATCCTTGACTGGCGTACGAGATATTTCACACCGATCCAAAGAACCTTCTGGATTCTGTACGATTAGCATTTTGAGTTTCTTCACAGGTGGATCCAGTTGCTGGAGCTGGTGATCGGAACGCTTGAATTTGGCCGAATCGACCCGAACTCGACCCGATCTGTTACAGTGCAAGTAGATCTGAGATTTGCTCCGTGTGAATTGGCCTTCCATAATGGAACATCCTCTTCCACTTCCGCCTTGCTTTCTTTTCATTTTCTTTTTTGGATTGTGAGAGCAAATCGGCAGAAAAATTTCTTCTAGTGAAATGGAGCTGTGGAATTAGGGTTTTAGGGAAATGAAAGAGGAAAAAAGGGAGAGATATGGCGGGAAGGTGGAGTTTCGTTTAGTTTTATTGTTATTATTGGCGGGAAATAATTAGCGGGAAATAGTTAGCGGGAGTTTATGGACCCTCTTTAGTCAAACGGGCTGGATCATTTCATACAGCCCATTAAGAATTTGGACGAAATACAAAAGCGATCTTTATATAAATAGCCGATTATATTCGTTGTTTACTCTTTTTTAGCCATATGCATAAATGAGTAATTAATTATACACATATAATACATAAATTATGTATATATTATACTTTCATCAATTATTTTTAGTTTAACTGGTTGAATGGACGGCTATTTGGGTTAAATCTTCAATACAAAGGGATCTTTATATAAATAGCCGACTATATTCGTTGTTTACTCTTTTTTAGCCATATGCATAAATGATATTAATTATACACATATAATACCTAACTTATGCATATATTATACTTTCATCAACTATTTTTAGTTTAACTGGTTGAATGGACCGTTATTTGGGTTAAATCTTCAATACCAAGGGATCTTTAAATAAATAGCCGACTATATTCGTTGTTTGCTCTTTTTTAGCCATATGTATAAATGATACATTAATTATACATAATTATACACATATAATACATAAATTTATGTATATATTATACTTTCATCGACTATTTTTAGTTTAACTGATTGAATGAACGGCTATTTGTGTTAAATCTTCAATATAAAGGGATCTTTATATAAATAGTCGACTATATTCGTTGTTTACTCTTTTTTAGCCATATCATAAATGATACATTAATTATACACATATAATACCTAAATTATGCATATATTATACTTTCATCGACTATTTTTAGTTTAACTGGTTGAATGGACGGCTATTTGGGTTAATTCTTCAATACAAAGGGATCTTTATATATATATATATATATATATATATATATATATATATATATATATATATATATATATATATATATATAATCGATAATTATTTTCGAGAGCGACTAAATATGTTTATTTCTCTAAGAGTTTTGGCCCATAGGCCACTGGTTCGGGCACTTCAGTCAGGCGTTTCTAAAAAAGGAAAAGGGCGAGTCTTATTCGTTTGGACATTAAATATTTGTATTTACTTGTTTGTCTATCAAAAAAATTGCAAATGCTAAACTTCTATATTTGAAATACTGATGCAATATTGAAATATGATTTAAGGTGTTTTAAGCTAATTTTGCAAGTTTGATAACATTATCAGCTTGGTTTTTATTCAATGCATTTATTGATGTTAACATCAGCTTGGTTTTTATTCAATGCATCTTAATTACATGTCAAATCACTTCATCCCCTAATCTTACATTTTTTAGACAAATTGGCCTCTAATGTCTATTCCCTTAACATAATAATCTAAATTAACACTTTTGGCATTTGTGTCCCCTAGTTTGATACTGATTCTCTTTCTCTTATGTGGGTAACTTTTTATTCATAATTGATATTATTGTGTTGGCTAATTCAGTTCAACATCACTCTTAACACGGCATATATATCCGTTTAATATAGCCTAAGAAAGAACTGGCGTAAGGTGATTAGGCAAGATATGGCTTTGCTCCAACGTACTGAGGACATGACTCTCCATAGAAAGGTGCGGAGGTCGAAAATTAGGATGGTGAGTTAATAGATTGTCTAGAGTTCTGTCTTGTCTTGCTAGTAGTAGTTGTACTAGTCGGGTACCTTCTTATTCCTAGTCCCTTGTTTATATACGGTATGTCAGTATTAGCAGTAGGATTGGCACTATTCTTGTAGTTTCATATTCTTGGATCTCTGTCATTATTCGTTGTATTATTTGCTTACACGGTCTTTTTACATTTTTGTAGCTATTTTTTTTTTATTGTCCTTTTTTTTACGTTCTTGAGCTGAGGATCTTTCGGAAACAGCCTCTCTATCTTCATAGATAGGGTAAGATCTGCGTACACACTACCCTCCCCAGACGTCACTTGTGGGGCTCCACTGAATTGTTGTTGCTGTTGTTGTATATAAAGTCTGTTAGCTTTCCACCATGGGAGCACTTGCAAGCTTCACATATTTGGAAGTTAACGGAGAAGAAAGGAGAGGAAAATGTATTATCTCTGTTGTATTAAAAAAATACACTGTACATCACCTTATATACAATATAACCAACTTAACTAATACTAATTAATTATCACTAACTAGTCTGTTATGACAACTACGCTACAGCTGTCACTTTTATTCACGTGACACCTTCAACACTCCCCCTCAAGCTGTGTAATGGAAACAGGTTGAACATTCCCAGCTTCGATAACAAAAAATCATGTTGTGCCTTCCCCAGTCCTTTAGTTAGGATATCTGCCACTTGCAAGTTTGTGGGTACATGTTCTGTACAAACCATGCCTTCTTGAATCCTTTCCCTAATGAAATGGCAGTCGATCTCTATGTGCTTCGTTCGCTCATGGTATATTGGATTCGCAGCAATTTGGAGTGCTGCCTTACTATCACAAAACAACTTTACTGGTAGCTTCAACTTCATTCCCAGCTCTCCAAAAAGTCCAGCAAGCCACACCACTTCTGCAATAGCATTTGCCATACTCCTGTATTCAGCCTCAGCAGAGCTTCGAGATATTGTATTCTGTTTCTTCGATTTCCAGGAAATCAAAGAGTCCCCTATCTTGACTACAAAACCACTTACTGACCTCCTTGTCATAGGGCAAGTTGCCCAGTCTGCATCACAGTAGACTGTAAGCTCTGATGATGGTTTGGACTTCAATAGTATCCCCAATCCAAGTGCATTCTTCAGATATCTCACCACCCTCAGGGCCCCTTCCATGTGTGACTTCTTTGGCTTGTACATGAATTGACTCAAGTTCTGCACTGTGTAACTAATGTCTGGTCGAGTCATAGTCAGATAAAGTAGCTTTCCTACTAGCCTCTGATATCCAGTAGGATCAGTCAACAATTCATCAACAACATCTGTAGTTTCACAGCCTTGATCATACTCAATGCTGGTAAACCTTTGATTAGCTTCCATTGGAGTGATACTTGGCTTAGAGCCACTCAGCCCAAGATCAGCAATGAGATCTAATGTGAACTTTCTCTGACAGACTAGAATTCCATCTTGACTTCTAGCAATTTCAAGACCAAGGAAGTATCTCATCTCCCCCAGGTCCTTGATCTTGAAATGATGATGAAGCATGAGCTTGGCCTCTTGAATAAGAGAAACTGAAGAACCTGTAATAAGGAGGTCGTCCACATACACTAGAATAACAACCATATGAGAGCCTGACCTTTTAATGAAAAGGGAATAGTCATAATGACTCTGGATGAAACCTGAAGATAGAAGAGCTTCACAAAGCTTCAGATTCCGCTGACGAGAAGCCTGCTTTAAGCCATACAGAGATTTCTGGAGTTTGCAAACTTTGCTACACTCCCCCTGTCCCAAAAGACCAGGGGGGCACCATGTAAACATCTTCTACAAGATCACCTTGGAGGAATGCATTGAATACATCCATTTGATGTAATTTCCAGCCAAACATAGCAGCTAAGGACAAAACAGACCTCACTGTGACCATCTTGACCACAGGGGAAAAAGTCTCCTGGTAATCCAATCCCTCTTGCTGTGTATAGCCCTTGGCTACTAGACGAGCTTTGTACCTTTCCACCTCTCCTTTGGCATTGTACTTGACTTTGAATACCCATTTGCATCCAATTGGCTTCTTGTCAGTAGGGAGATCAACCAGCAACCATGTATTGTTCTCCTGTAAGGCCTGCAACTCTAGTTTGATAGCTTCAACCCAGTGAGGGTCGAGTAAAGCCTCTTCATAATTGTCAGGTTCGCTGATAGTGGACATGTTACACAAAACTTCATGATAGGGACTGGAGATTGAAGCATAGGACATATAGGTTGATAATGGATAGAGTGATCCCATTGTTGCTGCATGAGAAGTAGGCTTAGACACTGTGTGTATGTAATCATTGAGCCAGCCTGGAGGCTTAGATGTTCTGCAGGATTTTCTAGTGGCAGTGGGTAAACTAGGGCAGTTAAGATCTGAAACATCCCTAAGTCTTGAGTCTGGCAATAGGATATCATCTGACATGGCATTAGTGTGAGTGGTATCATCAGCAGTGACAATTGCTGTTGGAGTATCTGGAGGTCCAGCTGAATAATGAACAGGAGCATGATCAGAGGAAGACTCCAAAGGATATGTGGCATCATCTGCTGCATGCTCAAAAGGATCAAGAGAAATACCCAAATCATCAGTGATAACTGAAGGCTGCAGCTGGTAGTGAGAGGATTTGAATGGAAAAACATCTTCCCTAAAAGACACATCTCTGCTCACTAGAAAAGATCTTGTAGCAAGGTCATATAACCTGTATCCCTTTTAGGTACTAGAGTATCCCATGTGCACTGCTGGAATAGCTCTACTGGCAAATTTGTCACTCTTGGTAGTAACATTGGTTGCATAGCACAAGCACCCTAGAACTCTCAAATGCTGCAAGTCTGGGACCTTGCCATAGAATACCTCAAATGGAGACTTTCCCACTAAGGCAGTGGAGGGGATTCTATTTATTAAGTAAGCTGCATTCTGAACACAAATTCCCCAAAATTTCAAGGGAATGGATGCCTGGAATCTGATGGCCCTTGCTACTTCAAGGAGTTGTATATGCTTCCTCTCAACCACTCCATTCTGTTGAGGAGTGTGAGTACAAGAACTCTGAAGCACAATGCATGCATTACTAAACAAATTCCTGCAGTGTGAATTAAAAAATTCTGTACCATTATCACTCCTAAAGACTTTGATTGAACCATTGAATTGGTTTTTTATCAACTGCATAAAGTCCCTTATTACAACTGAACCATCACTCTTCGGTCTTAACAAGAAAATCCAAACCATCCTGCTACAATCATCAACAAGTGTAAGAAAAAATCTATGCCCATCATGAGTGGGTACCTTATAGGGACCCCAGACATCTCCATGTATTAGTTCAAAAAATTTATTAGCTCGACTAGTAC